CACCCTGGAAGCAGTGGGCAGCCAGGAGCTAGCCATATGCTGGCTGCTTCCCTGCTCTTATGAAGAAGCTTGTTATTAACGCAGAGCAGAGGGGCAGACCAGTTGTATTTATAGGAGTCTTGGGGAATTATTTGCTCCTTAGACGAACCCATTGTGGGTCTCATTTCCCGGGTGCAGTGAGACGCTTAATTTGTGCATGTAGGGGCAGGGACGGCGTCCTACACACACTGGCTATTTGCACATGAAGGTGGCCAGCTAGGCATGCACAGTTTTTTAAACTCCAGCGTGGTCCTTGTTGGGTTAGTGCCGCAGGGACCGTCCCACTCCTGGTAGGTTGGGAGGAGAGTAGTTTTCCAACAGTGTGTGTCTTTGAGACCTGGCACATCTGTCACGTTGAGGCCTGATGTGCGTCGTTGGGCACAACACCACACGAGCTGCCTCTCCTGATGTCGGCCTTCTCCTCCTTCACGCAAGGTTACCGGAAGCTGCAGGCCATCGCGGAGCAGCTGATCATGTTTGAAACGCTGAAGCAGAACTTTGAGAACAATTTCATCAGCCATATTACAAGCCTCTTTGAACGGCAGGTAGGTTCACTCCCAGCCCTGCTGTGGCAGCTGGTCAATTCTGCAAGCAAGCAACATTCGGGCACTGCAAGTTTGGAGGTATAGTAAGTGCTACTTAAAACTTGGCACAGAAAAGGTTACAAGAAAACCTTGCCCTACCCTGCCCCTGTTTAGACACACCTCAGCAAACTGACTCTGGGTTGACTCTTTTACAGCGGAGGGGGGTGTTGCACACATTTGCCTGTTTGGAGAACGACCTTCCCACGCTGCTGTCTTTGGCCGCAGCCAAATGCAAAAAAGGTTTAACCCTGGACAACATTTATTCTAAAGAAGTGGTTTTTTTCCTGAGTTCCTATAGACATGAGAAATGGTCCACTTGGTCCCACTTGGCCTGTAGGACTCTACGTCCTCTGGAAACACATGACATGAGCACATCACAAGAGCTGCGGTCCGGGGTGTGCACAGGAATTTTAATTTGACCCCTTTTGGAGGGGTAGATTCTGTGCCCGCCCATCCCATCCCCCCTTCCCAAGGCACTTGCTGCCCCTCCCCCCACTGCCCCGGGCTCACTCTTCCCTGCCTCTGTGGCCCTGGGGAGTTGGGGGGCGGGGGGATGCCCCTCCTTGCATGTGCCCCTTGCAGCAATTGAGAAAGGAAAGGATATTAATGTCAGTTTGATTGTAATTTCATTGTTGTCTCTCATGCCTCGTGCCTTCATTTGACGTGTGTGACTGCTGCTAAGAAGGGAAAAAACAAGCGGACGTCTCCTGTTCAGGCGGGGGCCGGGCCGATGGGAGAGGAGAATAGCACATTTCTCACCTCCTTTATACGTGAGAGGGGAAGCAAAGCCCCAAAGTCCTTCAAATCCACCTTTACACCAGCGGTTCTCCAACTGTGGGCCAGGACCCCCGTGTGGGCCGTGATTCCATTTTCATGGGTCGCCAGGACTGGCTTAGACTTGCTGGGATCCAGGGTCAAAGCCAAGCCAAGCCCCATTTCCCAGACCGAGTCAGAGGGCTCCAGCCTCGGGTGGCATGGCTCTGGGTATAGCCCCCTGCGTGGGCCTGAAACTCTTGGGCTTTGGCCCTGGCCTCACCCGTCACCTCCCGCCTCAGCTTTTGGCTTTGTCCATCTGCTTGGGACTCAAACCCCATTTTTATGAGCACAGCGATCTGGCCCCTCCTCGTGCCCACTGAAAGACCAAAGCAATCCTTGCTGCTTCCTTCCTGAGCAGCGTTTGTCGGGAGCAGCCCTGCATCCCGAGTCTGGTCTCACGCCGCCGTGTCCATCCCGAGCGGAGAATCCGTCCGGCTTGTGGTTGGCCTGCAGAGAGAGCATTCTAAGTACCCTCCTGCGGCGCCTCTCGATTGTTCCAAAGCACTCTCCCCCGTTCAGGAGTCTGATGTGTCCAGCATACTCCACGTTTCACCTCTCTTGCAAACCATTTGCTTACACAAATCCGACATAAAAAGACAGAAATGTCCCAGCGCTCTTACTGACAGACTGCTGGCAGGCTCCTTTTACCATATCGTTACACAATAAATCCACTGGGACCTAATACTGTACTTACATTGCTGTGCACGGTGTAAAGAGCGGTATCAGCAAGTCAGCGGTGTGAAATTTTAGTTTGTACTGACTTCGCTAGCGCTGTTCATGTAGCCTGTTGTAAAATTAGGCAAATCTCTATATGGGTTGCTGTACCCCTAGAAGATCCCTGTGCACCCCAGGGATACATGTACCCCCAGCTGGGGGAATGGACATACGGGAAACTGCTCACCTGGAGGCTTTCCTCTCTGCTCCCATTGGCCGGAATCATGGCCAAGGGGAGCAGCAGGGGGCGGAGCCTGGGAGCAGCAGGAAGCACAGGCCAAGTAAGTGCCACCCGTTCCCCTTCCCCATATTCCCCTCACACATCCCTCCCTCCAAGACCCCCCCACAGCCCTACCCTGCTCTTGCACTCTCCCTCCTTGCTAGACCCCACCCCCAGCCCATTCCTGCACCCAACCTCCTGGCCAGACCACTGCACCCCTAGCCTGCTCCTGCACCCTACCTCCAGGCCAGATCCCCACACCCCGAGTCTGCTCCTGCACTCTAGCTCTAGGCCAGACCCTGCACCCGCACCCCACCACACACACTCATTTTGTCATCGTGGGGGTTGGCTGGTGCTCCGCGGAGAGGTCTGCATTGAGTGGGGTGGGCCAGTGGCCAAAAAGTTTGAGAACCGCTGGTGTAGACACATGGCCAGAGCAGGTTTTAACATCACTCTTCCAAGTTGCTACTGGCGTCTCAAACGTTGTTAGAACCGGGCCTGCCCAAGCCAGCCAGAAGAGATCCATCTGCTTCGTAAGCACGTGAACTATTGCACTGAGCTCTGCTTTGCTTTTGCTTCTGTTTCAGGGAAGTGGCCAATCCCTGGCCCAAATGCAGCAGCTCAGCAAGCTGATTTCACCCACCCATGGGCCCTACCATGACGACCTGCTCCCTTATGCTCCCCTCATGGCCTGGCTGAGGAAAGCCAACCCGATCCTGTTCCATGACCTCCCAAAGGTACGGCCACTCCTCCAAAGTGCCCCGGGCCACATCAGCACTGGGGGCTTAACGAGAGGAATAACAGATTAGTTATTAAGCTGGATGTTTTTAATTGGGATGGATCCTTTGAGACACCAGCCCGGAGGGAGTCAGTTCAGCCTAACGGGGATTGGTAATGGCTCTTTAATAGAGACAGTATTTTATAAGCAATTAATGCAGGTGTTTGACCGTAGCAAGTGGCGTTAAATGAGTGTGACATTCTAAGCTGTGGCCTTTTTAGGGTAGATGTGTCCATACAGAGATGAAATGAGAAAGGAAGCGAGAAAATATCACTTACCTTGAGCACCGTACTGATGTGCAGGCCTTCGGGCTCTGCTTCGCAGCTAGGCCCTGTTTTCTGCACGAGGGCGCTTCTCAGGGAAAGTCATCGTTCTCTGATTTCCCCAGCCGAGATCAGAGCCCCATGAGGCCAGGCTGTGGACACGTCGTAACAGTCAGTCACTGCGGAGTGGCACTCACAGCCTAAGTAGACAAGCAAAAGTAGGGTTAGTGAGCCCCGTTTTACAGTGATCTGCACAGGCCCCTATCTTAGAGCCAGATCAAATCCCCAGGCCTGCAACACAACCCCCATCAAAGAGGGGTAAAAGAACACCACACGGGGTTGATCCCTGAGAGTGCCAGACAAGTAATGGCCCCCTCAGCAATGATCCTCTACACTTTTTCATCCATGTGTGGAATAAATGTTGTTCCATGCACTGAGGTGTGTGTGAATGTGCACCACTGGTCAAAACACATGCTGCTGGCTGTGGACACTGGACGCCCTGCTGATCAGCGGGGCAGCATTTAAATCTCTCCTGAACGGCCGCACAAGCGCCCAGCTTACAGGGAACCCTGCCCCTCTGTGTTCAGTGAGGGCCAGTACTTTAGCTTCACATCGGCTCAGCCCCTCCTACCATGCTGGGCATTGCTTCATTGCTCAGACTAAGGGAGCAGTTCCCTGCAGCCCCCTCAGGCTCCCCATCACAGTACAGGGCGACTCTGAGCCTGCTTCGCCTGGGAACGCCTGCGGTGCCCTCTGAAGGCAGGTGTCCCTGGGGTGACAATCTGACTGTGGCAGTGTTCTGCTTGCTGAAAACAAGGATGCCAGCAGCTGTGTTGGGAGCAGAGTTCACCCCCATGCAAAGGGGCAGCGTGTGCTTGCTGCAGAGTAGTCCAGGTGCCTGAGTCTTCACCATTCAGCCACCCTGCTCCCTGTAGCCAGCGAACGGCACAACTTTAGAACGGGCGTCAGTGCTGCACAGCCGGGTCCTTCCCTTCTCAGCTCTCCCCACGGCCCCAAGCGCAACATATTTCACTAGGCGTTGGAGCAGCTAAGCCAGGGCTGCGGACAGGCTGGTGGTGGCTGGGATGGGGAGCGGCTCAGACTGGCATTTCCCTCCTTCCTTCCCCTCCCAGGTCTATGCCTGGAATCTGAGCCGGCTCTACGAGAGGGAAATCAAAGCCTTTTTCGAGCTGGCCAGGCTGCTGCTGCAGGGCAGAACCAAGGAGGGTAAGTGGCGCGGCTCTGCGGGACAGGGGTGGATTTGTTAACCGAGCGCATGGAGGAGTTTTCCCCTTTCTGCCTCCTGGACTATCGGTTCCTTGGGTGGGTTTGCCCCTTTCGTCTGCGGGCCAAGTGCTCAGTGGATGCAGACTGACGAAGCTCCCTTGTCTGTAGAGGAATATGCTGATTCACACCAGGTGGGCTTTGTATGGCTGTTTGCTGCAGGTTTATTCAGCACTGTTTGTTTGCTTCTGAGCAAGGGGAGCTTTGCGGCTTCCCCTGTAGGAATTAAGGGAGGCATTTCCACAGGCATCAAGAGAGCCAGAAATGAAGTTATGCACATGCTATGTATTTACGGCATCAAGCAAAGGTGAAAGGAAGCCAGTGCACCCGGGTGTGGCGCACCGGTGAGACACTGGCCGGCTTTGCATTTAGCAGCATGTTTGCTGTGGCTCAGCTCCCTGAAACCACCAGCCCCTGAGAACGCAGGTGCCAGCTCCCAGGACTTTGCAGGCCTTGCATTGTCTGTACCGGTCGGCCCACACCAGGCCCCCGTCCTCCGAGTGTTCCCTGCAGCGTCCTGCATCTCAATCCCTGATCCCTAAGACTTACCAGGTTGGCTGTTCCCAAAAGAACAGTCACCACCAGCTTGTCAGTTTCAACTGGGGACCAGTGATTTGCTGGCTACCACAGCACCTGACTGTACCGATAGTGAGAAGGAAGGCTAGTGGAAGTGAGTAGCTGCACATAAAACACAATTATAACTGCACTTTCCAGAGACTAAAGTGAACTAGCAGGTTAACCTCCTGTCTAAAGGAGTTTTCTCTCACCCCACATGCTCATAACCCCAGGGAGACCCCACTTCCTTGAATGGAAAAGCTTTCCTTCCCCAGTGAGAGGGGCCAGGGTCGCTTCTTTGTCTTCTAGAAATCCCCCCAGAATTCCTTGTCTTTGCCTATGGACGGGTTAATCTGCCCTCCATGGCTTGTGTGTTCCTGGGTCCTCTCCTGCTGATTTCACAACCATTCCTCAACCTGTGATTTCGAATCCATTGTGTTAAATTAAGCGCTGCAAGTTACGGCCCTGACCGAGAGAGGACATTCCGTGCCTCCTGTCTGCAGGAACAGGTCTCAGGCATATCGGGTGACCTGCTCTTAAATTACACTCTTGAGAACATAATTTTCTGGAATGGACACGTAGCTCCTGCAAGATCTTCGGGCCCTCCTTTTCTCAGTG